TGTTTTAATAATGTTTAAGGAATTTCAACTTGATATCGCGAATTGTAATAGAAATATTATAGCCTTTCTATATTTCCAAATAATTGTAGATTTGAACCAAGCTAAATTCTTACTTTTGAGGCCGATTTATCAAGTTTATGTTTTTCCTATATAAGGTCGTTTTTTTCAGTTATTGTAAAGCATACGAGGAAAAACCAGGAGATTCGTGATTGTGAGAAAATTTCACACAATAATGATTCGATTTAAAGGCGAATTATAAAATAAATTCGATTTATAAAAATGCTGGAGGCGCCGGTTTAATAACTAATTAAAAATTAATTGTTCAAAGAATATTAGGGAATTTCAACCTGATATAGTAATCTTTAATAGAAAAAGTGATGTTCTTTTAAAATCTTGAAACTAGAGCAAAATTACCACACCATTATAGATTTGAACGAAGATACATTCTTGGTTTGGTGTCCCATTCATCTACTTTATTTCGTATATAAAATCGAGGAAAATTGTCGATTTTCTTGATTCCGAGGAAATTTCGCATAAAAATCATACGATTTAAGACCGATTCGGTAAACTTTAATTGTCTAATAAAAAAGGTCGAGGTGCCGGGACAAATATAAAAAAAAAATAAAAATAGATACATTTTCTGACCAATTTTAACAATTTCCACAAAAATCACCTTTACGTTGTCAGATGAAGTCATACAGTAAAAATAAGCACAAATTCGTAATCTTGGGAAAATTTTCTTGAAGAATAATCTCTGTTTGTGTCGTTTTGACAAGATTTAAATTTCATTAACAATGGTGGAGGCGCCGGGATAATAATTCATTTTAAAAATAGATATTTCGAAATTTGTTATAATACGTTACCATCAGGTTGTATATTTTACAAGAAATTCTATATTTCTTCAGAGATTTATATTAATTCTTGGCCAAAATAATAAATTATATACACATCCAAGTCAAAATAAATGATCCATTTTGTCATCGATGTGACCAATTTTAACGATTTCCATAAAAATCACATCTTCGTTGTCATATGAAGTCAAACAGCAAAAATAAGCACAAATTCGTAATCTTGGCAAAATTTTCCTGAAGAATAATCTCTGTTTGGGTCGTTTTGACAAGATTTAAATTTTAATAAAAATGGTGGAGGCGCCGAGATAATAATATTTAATTTTAAAAATAGATATTTCGGAAACTGTTATAATACATTAACATCAAAATAAATAATCGACCTGGTCATCGCTCTGATCAATTTCAATATTTTTTACAAAAATCATTTTTTCGTTGTCATATGAAGTCATACAACAAAAAGAAGCTCAAATCGTAATCTTGAGGACATTTTCTTGTAGAAGCACCTCTGTTTGAGTCGCTTTGACAAAATTTAAATTTTGGTAAAAATGGTGGAGGCGCCGGGATAATAAATCATTTTAAAAATTGTTATTTCGTAAACTGTTATAATACGTTAAGATCGGGTTATATTTTTTAAAAGAAACTATATTTCTCCAAATATATATCAATATTTGACCAAAATAACAAAATATACACACATCTTACTCAAAATAAATGATCAATCTTCTCACCGATTTGATCAATTACAACACTTTCCATAAAAAACATATTTTCATTTTCATATGACTTCCGTACGGCAAAAATAAGTACAAATTCGTAATCTTGGGGATAATTTCCTGAAGAATGGCCTCTGTTGTGGTCGCTTTGACAAGATTTATATTTTGAGAAAAATGGTGGAGGCGCCGGGATAATAAATAAATGTAAAAATAAATGTTTCGGAAACTATTATAATATGCTAACTTCAGGTTGTGTATTTTACAAGAAACTCTATATTTTTCCAAACATGTGCCAATATTTGACCAAAATAATAAATTGTATACATATCCCACTCAAAATAAATGATCGATCTTCTCACTGATTTGATCAATTACAACATTTTCAATAAAAACCATATTTTCGTTGTCATATGAAATAATACGGCAAAAAATAAATACAAATTCATAATCTTGAGGAAAATTTCCTGAAAAACTATCTCTGTTATGGTCGCTTTGACAAGATTTATATTTTGAGAAAAATGGTGGAGGCGCCGGGATAATAAATAAATATAAAAATGAATGTTTCGGAAACTATTATAATATGCTAACTTCGGGTTGTGTATTTTACAAGAAACTCTATATTTTCCAAACATGTACCAATATTTGACCAAAATAATAAATTGTATACATATCCCACTCAAAATAAATGATCGATCTCCTCGTTGATTTGATCAATTACAACATTTTCAATAGAAACCATATTTTCGTTGTCATATGAAATAATACGTCAAAAATAAACACAAATCCGTAATCTTGAGGAAAATTTCCTCAAGAATTATCTCTGTTGTGGTCACTTTGACAAGATTTATATTTTGAGAAAAATGGTGGAGGTGCCGGGATAATAAATAAACTTAAAAATAAATTTTTCGGAAACTATTATAATATGCTAACTTCAGGTTGTGTATTTTGCAAGAAACTCTATACTTTTCGAAACATGTACCAATATTTGACCAAAATAATAAATTGTATACATATCCCACTCAAAATAAATGATCAATCTTCTCAATGATTTGATCAATTACAACATTTTCAATAGAAACCATATTTTCGTTGTCATATGAAATAATACGTCAAAAATAAACACAAATCCGTAATCTTGAGGAAAATTTCCTCAAGAATTATCTCTGTTGTGGTCACTTTGACAAGATTTATATTTTGAGAAAAATGGTGGAGGCGCTGGGATATTAAACAAATGTAAAAATAAATGTTTCTGAAACTATTATAATATGCTAACTTCAGGTTGTGTATTTTACAAGAAACTCTATATTTTTCTAAACATGTACCAATATTTGACCAAAATAATAATCAAAATAAATGATCGATCTTCTCATTGATTTGATGAATTTCAACATTTTCCATTCTTAACAGACAAAATAACTATATAAAATCGATAAATGAACGATCTTTTAATTCTCTAATCTGTCATTTCCAAAAAATTGTTGAAAATAGCTTTATTCAAGGAAAATCCTGTCATATGGAGAATTTTCCGTAGATTACGAATCTAGAGTCAATGTTGCGATATTTCCAACCAGCAGAAAAATGGCAAAATTTGTCGAAAAATCCACGATTTTTTTTAATTCCAATTTAATTAAATTATTTAATTTTGCGTTATAAAGACACATTACTATGACACTTTATCCCTTTTATCACCGTCGAGTGCCCTTCCCACGACGAAAATACTACTGTTTATTAAAATACAACATGCAAACCTCCTCGTTAGCATGTAATACGAATAATTATTATTTTAAATTTATTGTAGGGCGTGATTCCCATGTTTAATCATCCTATGTTTAATTAGCGTTAGCCTAACAGCACTTCCGTAATATATACGAAAATTTAATTATTTTAAAAAGCTTCACCCTCACAGCACCGAATATATACTAAAACCACTAAATGTAACACGCAAGTAATAAAATGTTTAACAGACACATAAAAAATGACAGTAATCTTAAAATACGTAACCCATTTTCTTCCAAGTAATTGCTAACCGGCGAAAATGGCTAATCTGGAAATGTTTTATTACACAATAAACAAACACATCGCGCAAAATTTTATTTAGCTAGAACATACGTAATAAGTGTGATAACTTCATAACATAAAACGTCGTTGGCATCATTATCATAATTTGCTTTCGTTTTGTGTCGACCTTAATCGCCAATCTTTCAAACTATAATTGACCGATCACTCACAGAAATTTCTTAGCCAATTTCTTAAAAGAAACGGGTGTTTAATTAACCAAAAGCGCTAGAGAAGAGAAACTCATTTTTAAAATATTCACGAGTGTCGATAATTTTAATAGTGCATTTGAATATATTATTAACCCAATACGTCGATAATCCCCACATCTGACGTGTCTCGCTTACACAAATGAGCACGTTTTTATTGCTCTCCATGATTTTAATTTTGTTTTAGGCGGAATGATGTAATTAGTATGGTTTCTGCCACTTTGCGATAATGCCGATTCCTGTCAGAGTGAAAAAGAGAGCGTCTGCTGACAAACAAAGTAATGGGTTGTATATTCACTCCAGCCCTCCGAGAGGTACCACATGTTTTTTTTTTTTTTGTAACAACAAACATCCACAAATCTTGCATGTCTCGCTATCAATTACCTGCCAATTTTATCCCAAGAATAATGATTTCTTTTATCAATACTTTTCCACCTTGTTGTTGTTCCGACACGCAACACGTCAATAAGCGCTTTTTTAAAACTGAAAAGAAGTCATTGTATTCTCTTCACTTCCAGTGCTACAAGTGAATTCGGCACATGTTAAACAATTGATTAGGAGCGGAGATGTCGATAAACTGGAACAGCTGGTGGTAGATGGTCACGGAAAAAAATTGATCGGGGAGTACTCAGCCGACTACAAAACCAGGACCTTCTTGAAGAACGTACCCTCGTTAATGGTAATTATAGCGTTCGGGAACGGAACATTCGAGATCACCAAGTATTTTAGTCCAAGATATCGTTACTTCACGACTCCGTAAATAGTGGTCGCCTGGAAGAACTTAAGTCTTTGTTGGACGAAGAACCAATCGAAAAACGGAAAAAACTAGTCATGGCGAAAGACGAATCCGGGGTTGGACTTCTGCACAAAGCGATCTACTACGACCTCAGAAGCATCTACAAATATTTGATTGAAAAGTTCCCACACATTATATCTCTAAAGGATTCTGTAAGTTATCTTGAATCAGGTTGTTTGTAAACATTTAAAACCATTATTCGTTTAAAACTAATTGAATTTTGATTGACACTAACAGCTTGTATTTCCTTTTATTGGAACGCCCGTCTCGTCACTGTCAACATTTCAGCTTTTATCTCTTTCCATTAAATAACTACGTAATATTGAATCAATATTATTTTGAAAACATTGATTTAGGACGGGCGCACCGCCTACCACTACACCCCCATGTGCAAAGACGTTTCGAGCGTGCAGAAGCTCCTCATCAGTGCTGGAGCCGACTCATCCGCTCACGACTCCAAGCAGCACACTGCCAAATACTACTCGAACCACGTCCAAGAACTAGAATTGCCAAACTCGCAAAAATCGACTGTCAATTCCGGCAAGCTCGGCCCCCACCCAGAGAGTAAGTGCTTCCTAAAGTTAATATTTGATAGGTAATTATTAGAAACCTTTGTCTAAATGATTCGTGTTAACACATCACAAGAGGTCGTCATTAATAATTCAACGCTGCTTAATTTTACTTTCAATCAAGATCGATTATCGAATCCGTATTCAAGAACAGAAGCGTGAGAACCGCGACGTGTTCTTATTATGTAGGTCATTCTAAGAACGTATTGTTTCTCGTTAAAGTAATGAGAAGCTCCGAGTAACCAAAAACATAATAAGTGTGGAAAGTTTCACCAAAGTTACTAGTAGCGGCGAAATGGCGCTGACGTCACTTTGAATTCGGCCAATCAAAGTCGAAATTAGCGCCGCGAAATTTAAATTTCAATAAACCGAAACACTTAATTATTTATTATGTATTTACTTGTAATATTTAGCTACGTTTCTAAATATACCACGTTTACCCAAATTATCCAAAGTTGTTATTTTGGTATTACCCCCACGGCATAACCTTTCAGTCGTTAACAATGTAAGTCCTACATAATTAACTTAAGTCGTACTAAATAATCCACCATTCGATAAAAATTTGTTCTACTTGTCCCTTAGACAACACTTAATGTCGCGATCGATACATTCCGGAAGTTCCAATTTAATAATCACCGATCAGCACTTCCGGGTCGTGTACAACCAACATTATGTTTGTAACGTGCGCCGGAAGTCGTTTACCCCGATAAAATGCTAAAATGTCAACGTTTCGCTTCATTTTCAAAAAAATCCTCAGTCCTTCGTACGATTTTCAAAATTCTCTGTCGAATTCCCCGAAACGACGCAGTTGAATTCGATCGGTTCGCCTGAATAAAAACTGGAACAATAAACACCCCCCAATCAATAAAATAACTAAATTATTAAACTAATAGTCACATGACCCATCACATGACGCATTGTTGGGCTGTACAATACGGCATGGTAACACTCGCACGTAGCCCGCCGTAACCTGAAGATGTCTGTTTAGTCGCGTGCGAAATTTTTTCAACATGAAGGATCTCGCAACAGGTCTCAGTTTCAAGAAGTCGAACATCCGGATTTGGATCCACCAGAGGAATTTGGCGAATTTGCAGCAGGTGGTGTGGGAGGGACATGGGTCCAAGCTTTTGGTGGAACATAGCAACAATTCCAGGATTAGGAAGTTTCTGGAAGCGGTACCCCACATAATGGTGAGAACTCTTATTGCTAAATTTATAAAAGCACTTTTGTTGAATTAGTCGTCATAATTGAAGTACTTGGTTAATCGATTTGGCTAAAAGGCCATTAATTGATTGTTTTTGCTCACAATGCCAACTTTTATGTACACACGGTTCAAGCGTCCTTTATTATTCATTTTGCCCCTCTTTAAAATGACCAGTGACAAATCGATACCAACAACACACATGTAAATAAGTACACGCAAAAAAAGTTTTTGTTGTTCATCAACTTAACAAACTATTGATTCTTCAGTCGATAAACGTGTACATCTTTAATTGTCTGGATAAATCACGACATCGTAAAAGTGACCTTTGTTCTAGGGTCTGATCAAAGACATTCACTCCGACGTGATCAACGACGAGCTCGAAAGTCTCAAGAAACGCATCACTCCACCCATACCTCCCTTGGTACTAACCGGGAAAGACGCCAATGGTTTGACCCCTCTCCACAAGGTACTACACCCATTTTGTCAAAAATAGCACCTACACAAGTTTTACAGGCCGCCGGTCTTGGCAGACACGACATAGCCGAATACATCGTCTCGGAGTACCCCAGCTGCATCAACATGACCGATGTTGACGGTCGAACCCCTCTCCACTACGCCTCTTTGCTTAAAGACGACGGCAAAATGACGACGTTCCTTCTGGACAACGGTGCAGACGAATCCGTCTTAGATAATGTAAGTGCGACCATACCTCCAGATCCTCGTTGACTAACTCACCCACAGAAACAAAAGACTGCTGCCTACTACAAGAATCGATCTTCAGAGCTCGACTCCAAAATCTTGACGGTCATCCCCGAGTGTCCACGAACCGCGAAAGAGTCGTTTTTGTCCACCTTCGACTGGAACCTACTCACGGCGTCTACCCCTACCGAGGAAATCCACAAAGTTGCCAAAAAGTTAGAGAACGGGAGCGAGAAGGCGAGTCCCGAGGAGAAGGAAACCCCGTCTGAGGAAAAAGCACCCGAAGAACCCAAGGAAGAGGAGGTGGAAGTGGAGGAAAAGGTGGAGACGAACGGGGACTCGAATAACAACGAGGAGGTAAACGGAAGCGACGAACCTGAAGAGGAGAAAGGTGCAAACGAAGCGCAAGAGGTGGAAGAACCGAAAGAAGCTGAAGCGGAGGTTGTAGACGAAGAGGAGAAGGAACCAGAGCCGGAGCAACCACAACCAGAACCAGAACCAGAACCAGAACCAGAACCAGAAGCAGAAGCAGAACCGGAAGCAAAACCTGAGCCTGAACCAGAAGCCCCACCACACCAAGAACCCGAAGACATCCCCGAACAACCACCAGAACCACCAGAAGACGACAAAGATAACGTTGAGGATCAAGTCAATGAGCGTCCTGCTAGCACCACTAGTCAGAGCAAGTCGCGCCCGGTGACCGCCAAAGTCGACGACCCCGAACCCGCGACTGAAGTGGAACCAGAAGGGGTCATTGAAGGTGTGGTCAACGGCGAAAACGAAGTCGAAACGTTGAACGAAGAAGGGCAAGGGGCGGCCGAAGCCGACGACGGCGGCGATGATGTCACCGCTATGGTAGAGGCTGGCAATATGGAGCAGCTCGCGTCATTGGTGCTAAACGGAGAGGGAGACAGACTGATTGGTCAAAGCAGCGACAACCCTGAGCTTCAATCGTTTCTAGACAACGTCCAAGTGTACATGGTACGACCACCTCGACGAATAACCACAGTACTTAATTTTTGTTCCAGACGAAAATCAATAGGATACATGTCGCGGCACGGGATGGCAGTTTACGCGATCTTCAAGCTGCTTTAGACAGGCGCAAATTTGCTATTGCTAAAGACAAGGTGTCTCCAAATGGGGCTTCGCCTCTTCATACCGCTGTCATTTTTGGTAATACTAGTATTGTGCGGTACTTGGCGGGGAGGTTTCCTGAAACGGCGCAAGTGACTGATGATAATGGAAGGACGCCGCTGCATTACGCAGCCGTTTTGCCTGACAATGGTCACTACTACAACTTATTGGTACATTTAGGTGCAGATTCAAGGACTGAAGACAACGTAATAACAATCAATGATCAACAAAATTGGTTCTTAGTTTTGTGTTTTAGTTTGGACACTCCCCGGAGTACTACCGGACGCACCAAGAAGACTTCTCGCACAGGACACTCCTACGTGACTTTGGTGCCGACGAAGCCGTCGCGGACGAAATCCTCAGTGATAAAGGTAGGAACTCCAACCCGTACTCTCACTAGCGGCTTTGTTCGTGTTGCCACCCGATTGCGCCACCCGAAAAACAGAAAGTCTCAGGTACTGTTTTTCTTCTATGTGCAACTCTTCAACAAAGCTGTTTGGCTGCCCCTGACATGTTGATTCTCGATCCTCGTAAATAATTCGTCCAATAATCTCATTTTTGTAGTTTATAGTCGCTTTAGCAAGAAGTTCAAGCAATTCGTTGCTAAGATTAGGAAACAAGCCAGCAATTAACCTCGCACGAATTGTTTTCGAGAGTCGCTCTGCGTTTCAAAAAACATTCCCACGGATTTTCCGCACACGTTTCTGTTATTGCAATTATCACAGTTCCCGACGACACGTGTTCCGCTCGTAAAGATCTAGACGATGAGGAGATGCTAAGCGTATTGGAGCGGTGCTATAACGTGTTGCATGGTCGGCGGAATTCGACAGCGGTTTCCGCCGCCTCCAACTCCTCGACTTCGACGCAAATGAGTCTGAGTAGTTCTATTATCACTAAACACACGAAGAAGTACGTTTTTGATTCGATCAAGATGCGACTGACGAAGTTGGATCATAGTTTGTACGACGTGATTTGGCCGAGTGTGAAAAAACTGCCGGCGGAAATGAGTTTCAGAGTCGCTCTTGAGCAGGATTTTCCATCCGGGCTCGTGGCGCCGGATGTTTACGTGTATAAAGTCTTCGGGGACTACATGGAACCGATTATTAAGGACTACAACTCGATTGATGTTCACCACGAGCTCGGGGTACACCCACAGTCGAAATTTTCGCACCAAGACGACGAGAAAATCATCGAAATGGAGTACGATTTAGATCCACAGACGCGGTGGATTATTTCAGGTAGAGTTAGTTCAAAATCGTTTGATTTTGAACTGGAACTTTACTACGTTTGTAGGTACACTCGACTGCAGTAGAAACCTTAGCGACTTCGAACTGCCGAAGTCACTCAGCGTTAGTCAATTAGAGACGGTGGAGAGGTTAGTAACGACGGTTCTACTAGGCAATGATGTCGCTCGAGCTCTGTATCCTAACGCGTCTGAAGACGATTTAGTCGAAGGGTGTGGGGTCTACTACACCATGAACGAAGTACTTGAGGAACCTTCAGAGGCCCGCGTTGTCTTAGCATCCAATGGACTTTTAATCCCGTTGTGGAACATCCCGGAGTCGGATCGGTTGCATGGGAAACATTGGCCCTATGGTCGTGGTGTGTTCCTGAGTAATGGTAACAACCTAGCGGTGTGGATTAACGTCCTGGATCATGTGCGCATAGTGACTTGTACGCCTCACACGAAACCCGGAAATGTGGGTTTAATTTACTCCCGAATAGCCCGTCTGATCGCAGTTCTGGATAAACACCTAGAGTTTAAGCGGGATGATCGCTTGGGTTATCTTTCGGCTAGACCCACCGTCGTCGGTAATACGTTCCAGTTCAACTTCACCCTCCGATTCCCCAACTTGATTAAAGAACCGGATAATCTGAGGCATTTGTGTTTCGTTCGAGGGTTGAGTTTCTACCGGAAAACCAACACGAGTGACGTGGTGCGCATCGGTAACCAACAGTGTCTAGGAATCACCGAGATTCAGTGCTTCGAGGACTTCACCACCGCCTTCGTCAATATCTTGCAACTAGAGAAAGATATGGCCGTGTCGAACTCGCTGCACATAGCAGCCGCTTTTGTTAACATATTCCGAAAAAAGAAATCTTTAGCGAATTTGGAATGAGCGCCGTACACTTTCTCAGTTACTCTTGCACCTTAATTTAACTTATCAGCCGCGGAGACAGTGTACGGACTCTTAGGTTGTAAGCCAACTGTAAATAGTGCCAAAGTTTCACGTAATTTTTTTGTATATAAGTCAGCTCTTTGGCTTTGGATGGACTTTTATCATAGGTCAGTACAATCACTCTTGATTCAGTCACACGTTCTTTGTTCTCTTTGATTTCCCAAGCGTGTACTGTGATCCCACGTGCACTCTGTATTTCCTTGTGGAAGTGTTGAACAATGTACTTCGGACCAAGTGTTGTGTGTGCTTCTAACGAACGACACGCTAGGTTTTCATCACCCTTGTCGCCTTCCTCGCCTTCCGCCTCAAACTCGTTCTTTGGTTCCAGGTAACGTCGTTCCTAGCAATGGCAGTAATAGTCAAGTAGACATGCCGTTCTTTGCAACGGAAGAAGGTCGGTATTTGGCCTCATGTAAGAGTCCGTCTGACTATACTAACACTCCATAACCGGCATTGCTTACAGCGCTCGGAGACCCTTTAATCAAGGGTTTGACTGAAGTAGCAAACAAACGCCCCGACGACCCCATCGCCTTTCTGGCCACTTACTTATACAATTTTGCGAATAATAGACAAAACGTGCAATCGCGGGGTAAAACACAAGTAAATTTACACGATTTCCTGGTGTGCATTTTTTTAAATGTGTCATTTAAACAGGAAAATCAGCAGACTATCACAGGCCCGCCGCAGGAAGCGGATAACAACAACGCGGTTCCTGCGACCATTGAAGTGGTTACGGTGGATCCCGAGGACAGCGGGACGGAAGAAGAGTCAGCTTTTAATAGCACGAGCAGGGTAGGTACTACCACGAATTCACAACTCACTCACAACTGATAATCTAGGACGAACACGGTCAAAGCATGCTCCACTTCGCTGCCGCTAGAGCCCACGGAAGAAACGCGCTCTTCCAGCTGCTAGTCGAAACTGAAATCAATGTAGCGTACCGAGACGAACTCTACAGGACGGCTCGAGACATCAGCATCCAAGCAAACATCCCAGAAAACACACAAGAAATCGACAGATACGTGATGAGCATCGCTACCAAAGGGGACACTGACAAGCTAGTGGAACTACTGTTAGATGGGTACGACCACATTACTGACATTGTAGACGAAAACGACGTCCCAATTATAGAAGCGGTGGCACAACACAACCAACCCGACACAGTATCGTTCCTTCAGTCAATTCTAGCATTCGAGGTAACTCTACATGTCAAAAAAAGCACAAGCTTTAGTGTTGTTGCAGGAGAAACGCGAACGCGTCCACCACGCTATCCGTTTGGGGTCTATCAACGACGTCACGTCGCTCCTGGCGGACGAAAATGACACCGGAAGCGGGAAATTGTTGGCGATTGGGAAAAACAGCTACGGGCGATGTTCATTGCACATCGCCGTGCTCTGTCAACAAGAGGAAATCGTGGACTATTTGGCAAACACGTTTCCGGATACATTGAAGCTTGGAGACAATGTAGGTAGCAAAAATTTTGACTCAGATGACAATTGGTGGTTTTTAGTTGGAGAGGACCGCGCTTCATTACGCTATGGGGGTCGACAATATGGAAACTATCAGTCGGGTTTTGATAAAAGCGGGGGGCAGGCGTATAGTCAAAGACCTAAAAGGCAGACAACCTACTTACTATTTTTTGAACAAGTCGGATATTTTGAGATTGCAAGAGGAAGAAGAGACGTTTTAAGTACCCAGGTTTTAGTCCATCTAGTCAAAAATCACCTTTATATTTTTATACACCTTTTTCAAATAGAGCTAGATTTTATCATAGACACATATTTTGTAATGTATTTGTGTGTTACTGATTTACGTACAACTAGACGTTTCTAATGATATATTTATTGTGTGCAATAAATTTATCATTAGAGAGAATTTATGGAGTAAAATAAAATAGTGTGACAGTACTGACGTTCATTAAAACCCCCAACATCAAGCTACAGATTTCCAAGGATTTGGATTCACGTACGTGACGCTGGACGAATACAGTGCTAAAATCGCAAAATTAATCGACAAGAAGTCCCTTCTTACTAGTACTACTTTCGATTCCTTTATTCATTGGCACCGGTTTCTGCCTATGTTTCGAATTTTTCAACCACTCCTGAAACGCCTTTTCGTTTTCCCGCATCTGCCTCTCCTTCAGTTCCATCTTGTTAATCAAATCCATCTGCTCTTTAATTTTCCTCTCTACAAGACAAATCTCACCCAGTGCTTATCCTTCAACTAACTATTACCATTGTTTAAGTATATTATAGTTGGACAACCTAATACAAATTTTACTTCGCCTAAATAGTGAGCTTCAGGACAAGGAATCCAGGGGGCGTGGGAAAAATTTTTCGTCAACGCGCATTTTCACTACAGTAAGCCAACGTATTAGGTTTATTATACTCTAAATCAGATGGCGCCATCAAACATTAGCAAAGGCAAACACCCTTCACTCTGCTCTTATACGAGGAGTTATCCATAAATCCATAATTAACATTGTTCCGTAAAGAGTAATGTGTATAAACATATATGTACAAAATATGAAAATATACTTGACATAAAAAATATGAAGCAACGCGTTGTAACGTGATAAGAAAGAATTGAATTTAAATGAATTTGACGCATATTTTTATTTGACTATATCTGAAGACTGACAGAAACTTTCCAAGGGTTTTTAAACTGGTATAATTGTTTAGTTTTACAAGATTAAAGTAAAACAAGATTTTAAGTAAAATTCAGATTCGTGGTGTTACAAAAATATTAACACTAAATGAAAATATATGTTCAAAGTAAATAACAGAATGACATAAACTTTCGGCAAATAATTACAAGAGAGAAAAAAACGCATTAAGAACTTAAGAGGCATGTTTGTAATATCGAGTTGTTAAAGGCTGCTTTGAAGACTGTTTGTTTCTATGAAAAACAATTGCTGTTATCGGACATTTTGGTAGATTTTGTTCCAAAAATACGAGATAACTAAATGTTTCTTGAACTAGTTTCCGTAACTTCTAAAATTTAAAAAGGATACGCCGTTCTGCTGTAATAAAATCTAGAATAAGGTCAAAATCACACTAATATTACATCTGATTTTGTTAACCACATGAATATAATTTACATTAAAATAAGTTACAGACATTGTTTGAAATGTTTATTATAGTTCGAAAACAAGATAAAATAAATAAATAAATAAATAAAATGTGCAGTTTATGAACTTCAGAATTTTAGTATAAAAATAATCATGTTTGAAGCTTTATTTTGTCTGTTCCATTTTATTGGGTGTATTGGGCCCCTCTCGGGATATAACACCGACATCATTGCACTGACCCAACGTTCTTCAGCCGATTTCACAGCGATTTGGTTTTCGGATTTTCGGCTATATCTGCACAGTTAACTCTTTGCGCACTGCACACTGACATAGAGTATTTTGTTCACGCGAGCATGAAAAATATTACGCCGAAAGCACTTCTTCAAGTGTTATTTTTTTTAAGATGTCATATTTGTCAGCGTTTCCAAAATTTTCTTCTTTGCACAGGTCAACTAATTTTTCGTAAACCGCATTTTAAAATTTTTGTTACTGTATTTTTTACTTTTTAATTTACTAAAGCATGAAAAAATGCCTTATAGTTTTCTATGAATTTATTAACGAAATCAACTGATAACTTGCGCGCCAGTTTGTGTTAATTAACACCAATAGTGATTATGATAATTTTATAGTTATCATTTTAATGAAATTGTGTTCTTCACTTCGCGAACGACAGCAAACAATTTAAAATTACCGCCAGTCAAGCACCTGAAAATCCATCTCTCCCAAATATGTCTTTCTTGGCACGATTTGTAATCCGAAGTCTCCCTCCACATGCAATTTTTCGTCGCCTGAGAACTTGTTTGATCTACAGACCAAAGCACACTCAGGCCAATATCGGCTTTAAGCGATTTATCTATAAACCGATATTCGTTAGAGTTGATCTGATACACATCCACTACGAAGAACTAACCCATTTCGACCATTGGACTTTACAACGAATAAGTGAACAAAGTTCTTGAACATCTTAACGATTTAATACAAAATGTTCCCGAATGACAAAATTTACATTTCAAATTGTATTATCAAATTACACTCTCCAAAATTTGTCACGAACAATGAAATGACGCAATCTCCAAATTTTACAATAGTAAAATTGTAGTTTCGCCCCGTTTACGGTTTATGCATCCGTGTCGAGTTTTCACCTTGGACGTCAAGATCTTTGGAAAAAAAAACAACATTTTCCAATTTATAATCTTATTTAAATTTTAAAATGTAGAATAGTCCTGATCTTGCGATTTATACCTAAATACGCTATTGGGATTGTTCGGCTTGTCGATTTCTCGATTTTTCAACTTTATGTGTCTCATAAATTTTTCAATATTTCAATTTTGGGCTTTTCCGATTCCTCCATTCTTTAAATTTTCTATTTCTCGATTTTTTTATTTTTCGATTTCTCAATCTTTCGATGTTTCAATGATACGATTTTTCAATTTTTGTCCTCTTCATTTTACGGTTTTTAAATATTTCGATTTTTCAGTTTTTAAATATTTCAATTTTTCAATTTTTCAAATTTTCACGTTTCTAAATTTTCAATTTGCCGATTTCTAAAGTATTTTTTTTATTTGTCCATTTCTGGATTTCCTAAAGTTTCGATTTTTCACATCTTCAATTCTTCAATTTTTCGATTTTTTAAGATTACGATTTTTCAATTTTGCTTTTTTAGATTTTCGATTTCTCAATTTTCCAATTTTTTAATTTCTCAATTTTTTGAATATTTCTTTCAGTTATGAGATTTTTCGATATTTCAATTTTTCGACTTTTCGATTTTTGAATTGATGGATTTTTTTTGATTTCTCGCTTTTTTCCTTTTTGGATTTTCAATTTATTGTAAACTTTAGATTTTTCAATTCTGGGACTGTTTAATGCTTCGATTTCTCAATTTTTAAACTTTTCGATGTTTTAATATTTAATTTTTTTAAATTCTAGGTTTTTCGATATCTCGAGTTTTCAGTTCTTCTATATTTCAATTTTTCAATTTTTCGATTTTTTGAATTTTTATTTTTGATTTTCCGGTTTTTCTTTTTTAAAATTTTTCGATTATTCAATTTTTTAATTTCTCAATTTATCGAATTCAGATGTTTCGTTGTTTTGATTGTTCAATTTCTCAATTTTTCAATTTTTAACTTTCCTTTTCGACTTCCGACTCCTCAATTTCTCGATCCTCCGATTTTTCGATTTCTCGAAGTCTCAGTTTTTGAATTTTTCGATGTTTCGATTTTTGGATTTCTCGGTTTTTCGATTTTTTTCTTTTGAGCTTTTCAATTTCTGGATTTTCCAATTTTTCAATGCCCCGATTTTTCAATTTTTCAAATTGAATTGGATCTCTCGATTCTTCAATTTTGCGATATTTTAATTATTCATTGTTTTAAATTTTAGTTTTTTCGATTTCTCGATTCTTTGACTTTTCAGTTCTTCAGTATTTAAATTTTTGAATTTTTCAAATTTTTGCGTTAAATTTTCAGTTTTCTGATTTCTCAATTAATCTATTTTTGATTTTCCCACTTCTCAAAGTTTCGATTTTTCAGTTCTTCAATTCTTCGATTTTTCGACTTCGCTTTATTGGTTTGTCGATTTCTCAATTTTTGGATATTTCTTTCAGTTTTGATATTTTTCAATACTTCGATTCTTTCATTTTTCGACTTCTAGATTTTTCTATTTTTTGTTTTTGGATTTTCGGTTTTTTGTTTTTTATTTCAATTTCTCAATTTTTCAACTTTTCCATATTTTAATTTTTAAATTTCGATGTTTTGATTATTCAATCTCTCGCTTTATCAATTTTTCCGTATTTAAGTTTTCGATTTTTCGATTTTGGCCTATTTCGGTTTCTCAATTTTTTGGATTTTTCGACTTCTCGATTTTTCGACTACTCGATTTTTTTGTCTTTTGATTTTTTCGATTTCTCGATGTCTCAATTTTTGAATTTTACAATGTTTCGATTTTTCGATTTGTTGGTTTTTCGATTTTTTGCTTTTCGGTTTCTCGATTTTTCGATGTTTCGATTTTTGATTTATCCGATTTTTCAATTGTCCAATTTTTTTAATTCTCGACTTCTCGATTCGTCGATTTTTCAGTTTTTCGATTATTAAATTTTAGATTTTTTTTTATTTTTTGATGTTTGGATTTCTCCATTTTTCAGTTATATTTTAACTTTTCAATGATTTAAATTTTAGATTTTTCGATTTTTCTGTTCTTCAATATTTTTTTATTTTTCAAATTTTGACGTTTCTGAATTTTTAGTTTTCGGATTTCTCAATTAATCTATTTTTTTATATTCCCATTTCTCCACTTCCTCAAGTTTCGATTTTTCAGTTCTTCAGTTCTTCAATTTTTCGATTATTCAGGTTTTTGATTTTTCAATTTTTCGATTTTTTAAGTTTGCGATTTTTAGACTATGCTTTTTTGACTTTTCTGTTTCTCAATTTTTTAATTTCCTAATTTTTTGATATTTCGTTCAATTTTGTGATTTTTCAGTTTTTCGATTTCTCAATTTTAACTTTTCAATTTTTAAATTATTAACTTTTTTCGATTTTTTGAGTTTTCAGTTCTTCTATATTTCAATTTTTCAATTTTCGGAATTTTTAAATTTTCGATTGTCCAATTTTTTTTTATTTTTCGATTTTCCAATTTTTCGATGTTTCGATTTTTGAATTAACCGATTGTTCAATTTCTCGATTTTTAAATTTTAGATTTTTTTTATTTTTTTGTGTTTCGATTTCTCGATTTTACAATTTTCCCATATTTGAATTTTTCAGTGTTTTAAATTTTCGATTTCGGGGATTTACTGTGTTACAGTAGTCATCAGTCATTACTCATCAAGAACGATTATTGCTGTGCGTTAAAATGCCTACATACTGATAAGCACGTACATACAAGACACATTTAAGGCTGTTTTAGTATAATTTTTGCAATTTTAAATTTATTTCTTGATGTCTAAATCGTATATATTTAAATGGTGATGAATATTTTGTGATACAATCTTAGGATAAAATGCATTTTAGTTTCAAAAATAATATGTATTTAATGATTTGACTACTGTTAATAAAAAAAATACGTAAGAAGATGTTCATATTGAATGAATTTGGTGTTCATAGTTTGATGATAACCCATAGATATATTATATATATGTAAAGTCTTCAACACGTACGTTTGCTTATTTTGTGACTGCTCCCCGTCATTGATTAAATACATATGTATATGTATTTAATCAATGTCCCCGTACAACGTAGTGATTAATACGTCCGTTTACTACCTTATCGACATCACGTGCTTACGGACTATTTTTACCCCCTTTCGTAAGGTACCGCCACTTCATAGTGAAGCGAGTGAGATGTAAAATATATATTCATTCTTTTCTACATGGGAAAGTGATTGTCCATATAGGTTGTCCAACTATAATATACTTAAACAATGCTATTACCTAGCTGCGCTTCTTCCTTCTTCTTCAACCACAACTGAAACTTCAGCTGATTCTCGAGCTGCTTCTTCTCCTTCTCGAGCTCCTTGAGTTGCCGCTTCTCCATCTCCTTCTCCTTCTTCTTCTTCGCTTCCAGCTCAATCTTCTTCTTGTTCATCAGCCACTTCTTGAAGTTGTTCCTTTCCAGTTCTAGCATCGCCTCTCGCTCTTTCATTTTCGCCTCCACTTGCATTTTCGCCTCGATTTCTTTTCTCCGTTTCTCGTCCTCTTTCTTCGCGATCCATTTTTTAAACACTTGTTTCTTCGGGTCTTCGAAAATCCCGCTGCTCGAATATTGCGCAATTTTGGGTTTGTTTTCCACGCTCTTCAAAGCGCTACTGGACATAGACATCCCTCGTTCCTCTTTTGGCGCAGAAACTATATTAGTGTTACTGTGACACGGGCAATTTCTCTGCTCCACCGAACAGCTGCATCGTTTGATTTTGGTTTCCAGGACGTGGTCGTTGGAGGGTTTTGGGCGGATGGAGCAACTTTCGCTTGAAACGGTGGTGGATAAAGGTTTTTCGATGTAGATAGCTGAGTTGACGAATTTTCGCGTTATCTTGTGGCCGTTAGTTCGTTCCGGAAAATCGGTCAGAGGGGGTTTGGTTTTCACTTTGTCGGTACTTTTACTACTAAGACCAATGGCTAACATCATTATTTAGAAGATACTTTGATAAAAATAAAATAACTAGACGCACAGCAAAATAAATGCTGTCTAAAGGTGGCATTAAAATGTCAAAAACATCAGTCAAAAGAGGGGCGGAGGGTGGAAAACGGCGCCTTCTGGATTGGGGCGTGTCGCAAATTACGGTACATAAAGGGCGATTTATAAACTTGTCGCTGACGTTGACGTTGCCGTTGTATTAACTTTTGGCGTTACCTTGCCGTTGACGTTGGGTTTTCAACCAATCAAATTGCGGTAGTGTACAGTGCTGCCAACACCATTACTTAGGAACATATTTCACATGGTCATTTCTCGTAGAGAAAAAAAAAAGGATTTTACAATTAAACTATGCCCCTTGGCTTACGATGAATAAAAAATTATCAGAATTGAAACAGGGCGGGTGGGTGGGGCTTACATTTTGCCTTAATTTTCTTAATATTCGTAGCTATCTTTTCACAACAAGAAACTGAAAACATGGTTCACTGCAGAGCTTAACTGCAAAATACTCATTTGTTTACAAGAAATTCTATTTTTCAAATTTTCGATTTCTCGGTTTCTGTAGTTCTCAATTTTCGATTTTTGAGTTTTCAATAAAGTAGATAATCTTCCGCTAGTTACGATTCTGAAATCGCCGTCATGATATCTGGTCCAATAAAGTCGAAAAGTGAATTCAAAATTTCCAAAAAATTTCCAAAAAAGTGGTTAAAATTGGTTCAATCGACCGAAAATTGGTGTCAAGTTGTAGATAATCTTCCGCTGGTTACGATCCTGAAATCGCCGTCATGATATCTGGTCCAATAAAGTCGAAAAGTGAATTCCAAATTTCCAAAAATGTTCCAAAAAAGTGGTTAAAATTGGTTCAATCGACCGAAAATTGGTGTCTAATTGTAGATAATCTTCCGCTAGTTACGATTCTGAAATCGCCGTCATGATATCTGGTCCAATAAAGTCGAAAAGTGAATTCAAAATTTCCAAAAAATTTCCAAAAAAGTGGTTAAAATTAGTTCAATCGACCGAAAATTGGTGTCAAGTTGTAGATAATCTTCCGCTGGTTACGATCCTGAAATCGCCGTCAGGATATCTGCTCCAATAAACCCGAAAAGTGAATTCAAAATTTCCAAAAAAGTGGTTAAAATTGTTTCAATCGACCGAAAATTGGTGTCAAATTGTAGATAATCTTCCGCTGGTTACGATTCTGAAATCGCCGTCACGATTTCTGGTCCAGTAAAGCCGAAAAGTGAATTCAAAATTTCCAAAAATTTTCCAAAAAACTGGTTAAAATTGGTTCAATCGACCGAAAATTGGTGTTAAATTGTAGATAATTTTCCGCAGGTTACGATTCTGAAATCGCCATCATGATATAAAGTCCCATAAAAACGCTCAGTAAATTCAAAATTTCCAAAAATTTTCCAAAAAAGTGGTTAAAATTTGTTCAATCGACCGAAAATTGGTGTCAAATTGTAGATAATCTTCCGCTGGTTACGAATCTGAAATCGCCGTCGCGTATCTGGTCCAATACACCCGAAAAGTGAATTCAAAGTTTCCAAAAATTTTCCAAAAAAGTGGTTAAAATTGGTTCAATCGACCGAAAATTGGCGTCAAATTGTAGATAATCTTCCGCTGGTTACGATTCTGAAATCGCCGTCACGATATCTGTTCCAATAAACCCGAAAAGTGAATTCCAAATTTCCAAAAATGTTCCAAAAAAGTGGTTAAAATTAGTTCAATCGACCGAAAATTGGTGTCTAATTGTAGATAATCTTCCGCTGGTTACGATTCTGAAATCGCCGTCACGATATCTGTTCCAATAAACCCGAAAAGTGAATTCAAAATTTCCAAAAATTTTCCAAAAAAGTGGTTAAAATTGGTTCAATCGACCGAAAATTGGTCTCAAATTGTAGATAATCTTCCGCTGGTTACGATTCCGAAATCGCTGTTACAATATCTGGTCCACTAAAGCCGAAAAGTGAATTCAAAATTTCCAAAAATTTTCCAAAAAACTGGTTAAAATTGGTTCAATCGACCAAAAATTGGTGTTAAGTTGTTGATAATCTTCCGCTGGTTACGAATCTGAAATCGCCGTCACCATATCTCGTCCAATAAAGCCGAAAAGTGAATTCAAAATTTCCAAAAATTTTCCAAAAAAGTGGTTAAAATCGGTTCAATCGACCGAAAATTATTGTCAAATTGTAGATAATCTTCCCCTGGTTACGATTCTGCAATCGCCGTCACGATATCTGCTCCAATAAAGAAGAAAAGTGAACTCAAATTTTCCAAAAATTTTCCAAAAAAGTGGTTAAAATTGGTTCAATCGACCGAAAATTGGTGTCAAATTGTGGATAATCTTCCACTGGTTACGGTTCTGAAATCGCCGTCACGATATCTGGTCCAATAAACACGAAAAGTGAATTCAAAATTTCAAAAAAATTTCCAAAAAAGTGGTTAAAATTGGTTCAATCGACCCAAAATTAGTGTCAAATTACAGATAATCTTCCGGTGGTTACGATTCTGAAATCGCCATCACGATATCTGGTCCAATAAAGCCGAAAAGTGAATTCAAAATTTCCAAAAATTTTCCAAAAAAGTGGGTAAAATTGGAAAATCGACCGAAAATTGGTGTCAAATTGTGGATAATCTTCCGCTGGTTACGGTTCTGACATCGCCGTCACGATATCTGGTCGAATAAAGCCGAAAAGTGAATTCAAAATTTCAAAAAAATTTCCAAAAAAGTGGTTAAAATTGGTTCAATCGACCGAAAATTGGTCTCAAATTGTTGATAGTTTTCCGCTGATTACGACTGTGAAATCGCCGCCACGATATCTGGTCCAATAACGCCGAAAAGTGAATTCAAAATTTCCAAAAATGTTCCAAAAAAGTGGTTAAAATTAGTTCAATCGACCGAAAATTGGTGTCAAATTGAAGATAATCTTCCGCTGGTTACGATTCTGAAATCGCCGTCACGATATCTGGTCCAGTAAAGTCGAAAAGTGAATTCAAAATTTCCAAAAATTTTCCAAAAAAATTGTTAAAACTGGTTCAATCGACCGAAAATTGGTGTCAAATTGTTGATAATTTTCCGCTAGTTACGAATCTGACATCCCCGTCAAGATAGCTGGTCCACTAAAGCCGAAAAGTGAATTCAAAATTTTCAAAAATTTTCCAAAAAAGTGGTTAAAATCGGTTCAATCGACCGAAAATTATTGTCAAATTGTAGATAATCTTCCGCTGGTTACGATTCTGAAATCGCCGTCTCGATATCTGGTCTAATAAAGCCGAAAACTGAATTCAAAATTTCCAAAAATTTTCCAAAAAAGTGGTTAAAATTGATTCAATCGACTAAAAATTGGTGTCAAATTGTAGATAATCTTCCGCTGGTCATGATTCTGAAATCGCCGTCACGATATCTGCTCCAATAAACCCGAAAAGTGAATACAAAATTTCCAAAAATTTTCCAAAAAAGTGGTTAAAATTGGTTCAATCGACCGAAAATTGGTGTCGAATTGTAGATAATCTTCCGCTAGTCACGAATCTGAAGTCGCCGTCATGATATATGCTTCAATAAAGACGAAAAGGTGATTTAAATTTTCTAAAAAAGTGGTAAAAATTGGTTTGACACCAATTTCTGGTTTTCTCAACTTTTAATATCTCGAATTTTTTCATTTTTAATTTTTAGATTGATCGATTTCATAATTTTCTGATTTTCGATTTTTTGGTTGTCCGATTTTTAAAGTTTTTTTATTAATTTTTTGATTTCTCAATAATTGTCGACTTTTTCATTCTCAATATTCTTCAATTTTTTCGAATTTTGAATACTTGGCTTCACGATTTCTATAAAAAAATATCATCAGAATTGAGATAGGACGGGTGGGCGGGGCTACATTTTGCTTCCTTTTTTCTTAATATCTGTAGACTTATTTGGGCAACAAGAAACTTAAAACATGTCTTAAATGTTAAATTTCTGGCATTGTATTTGGTGGGATTAACTAAAGGACTTGTGTATTTAAGTACTTTACCCCACTTACCTCTACCATTACAAAAGTCTATAAATAGAACAAACCCACAGTGCGTCAGTTTAGTCACTTTTGAAATAGTGTCCAACGCAGAAGTGCTGTTTATTTTCTCAAACCAAAACCACCAACAAGTGACATTAACCCACCAGGTAAATATACATAATTTATTTTGTTAAGTTGACATTTATCAATTTTAAAAACCCAATTTAACATTTAAAACGGAGACCTTAAAAAATCATTTCTTAGTAAATTGGTAAATACTTCAAGTAAATCGTTAAACAACCATTACAATAAGCCCTACTTATACTTCTATAATCCCCGAACAATGCCTTAAGTACTAAGTCATTTATAATATTTGTGCGTACACGCTAATAAAACACAATATTTAACAAACGCAGACGCTCGATTATTTTATAAATAAACTCGTAGCCGCTGGCTCGCTTTGCCCCAGCGTCCCCTACCACCCCTACGTCATACCGCTGCGCTGCCGCTTCAAATTTTGAGAATCGCTGTATTGATTACAAGGTCGACGTTACGTAATTTACGCTCAGTTTTGTACTCAAACCATTCCAATACAATGTATTTCCACTCTATCATAGAAACAAGGTTATTTCCATTATTTGCGCATTCATAATCATGTGCTCAAAAAATCTTATCAATTATCTTATTTGTAAGACAAAAATAATGTAGTCGAGCGTTATTTTCCAGAGGAAATTTTCACAAAACACTCCGAAAATCGTTCCACAATGAATGTTAGTGGTGAGTAGAAATTATTAAAAAAAAAGTGAAAGTGTGACGCTGATTTTTTCAGATATCAGAACCAAATATAACGATAGAACGAATTTGTTCTTGGAGGAGGACATCGAGGTTAAAGAACCGTTTCATTTATTTGAAAAATGGTTCAATGGGGTAAGGGGACATCCCGCTATTGAGGAACCAAACGCCATGTGTTTAGCAACAGCGACAAAGTATATATAATTTTTTTAAAACACGTAATTCTTACAAGATTAATAAATTATTCCAGAGATGGTTTCCCATCTGCCAGATATGTTCTGTGTAAAGGGTACAGCAAAGAAGGGTTCAAATTTTTCACGCACTACACAAGCAGAAAAGGGCAAGAACTGGTAATAAATTAATTAATTATTTTTTTTTTTTTAAGAAAATTTCATTGTTTAACTTTCAGGAAGAAAATCCTCGCTGCGCACTTACATTTTACTGGGCGCCCTATAAAAAATCTGTGAGTACTACAACCACTAATAATCTCCATAAAGCACAAATTCCAGGTCCGTATTGAAGGAATTGCCGAAAAACTCCCGTTTTGCGACGCCGACGACTATTTTCAAACCCGACCATACCAAAGTCAAATTGGGGCTTTGTGTAGCAACCAAAGTAAACCAATCACAAGCCGCGAGGTTTTGGCGCGAAAAGAAGAGGAATTAAAAGGGGTTTATAGCGAAGGCGGTGTTCCAAGACCGCCACAATGGTACCAAAAATTTTTTCTTTTTTTTCTATGTTGTATAACGTGTAATTATAGGGGTGGCTATATTGTCAAACCCACCAGCATAGAATTCTGGCATGGCCAAACTGACAGAATTCACGACAGGATTAAATTCAGAAAACCACGCGATTCAAGTGAACCTGATGGAATTCTAACCCACCAAGGGGAAAATGGGTGGATATATGAAAGACTAGCTCCTTAGAGCGCTACTTTAGACTAATTTTAATTATAGCTCGTTTAAGTCCATCTGAACATACCCAATGGGTTGTGTGATTAAAAACGTCTTCCTTTTTTAGCGCGTCTTCAAACTGGACAATACCTCCCCCTACTCCAAAGTAGTGAGATTTAGCGGCTAGAAAACTGTATGTCATAAGAAAAATTCATCAATTAGGTCTCAATTAGTATAGGAAAAGGATACATTTCTCCATTTTTATGTAGTAAGTCACGAAATATAGTCAATATTTTTTTATAATTATTTACGTTGTATATAGTCTCTGAGGTGAAAATAAAATCAAACTTGTTTTCAGTTTGTTTTTGTAAATCTAAAAATGAGTTCCAGTCGCCATAGTAAAATCTGCACTTGTTTGACGCTATATTGTTCAAAAAAACATTAGGAATAGTGGCAGATTTAATCACTTCTTTGTTCTAAAAAAGTTCAGTTGTTTTATGGAACCAAATGATGATTTATTTACATAGTCTTGGAAAACCGTCGTTGCCCCCTTCAAACTTGCATATATTCCAACAACCCCACCGCCACACCCCAAATCAAGCACTCGTTTTTCATTCAGGTCTAAATTTTTAATAAATTCCAACAGATCAAAAGTGCACTCCCAAATTTTCAGCCCTCCTGCAAAAAACTGTGGATAACGCGCCTTCATACAAACACAGAATTACCCTCATACACCGCCGGGATTAAATCGGAATGGTTTTGTTCGGCGTTTAACACAGAATTGTCATTTTTGGGGCCATCATGTCTCAAAGTGTCAACAATATCCTTATCAGAAATATACTTGATATCATAGTTATCGCAATGTATCACGTTCGGGTGGTCATGGTTTCGCAAAATTACGTCTTCCGGTTTAATTTCTCTGCTCTCAAGCCAGTTTACGCACTCCGATTGCGATTCATCTGAAAACGAAAGTGAGGTTATGTTACACCAAGCGGGTGCTCACCACTTGTCTCATTTTCAACATTTTCGTTTGAAAAACCGAACTTGAACATGTTTTTGTGATGTTTTCATCGATCAACGACGATATTTAACGATTTTTGTACACTTTTGTTTGATTTAAATTTTGTTCGACACCAGAACATTTGGAATGAAAAACCCTAGATTTTTAGTAACTTTCGGTTATTATTCACCAACAATCAAAAAACACGTCTGAATTATGATCTGTCACTTTGTTCTAACCTATTTTGTTCTACATGTGTAACAAATTAATTTATTGATAAATTAAACCGTGAATAATGGACGAAAAAAGCCCCCTTAAAATGGAAAGCGACAATTTCGTGGGTGTTCTGGTCGCAATAGTCGTGGTAGTGTTAACTATAGGTAAAACCGTCGCACTTTCCATATGTTTGAAATTGAAAAGTCGCTTTTCCAGTGATATTTATTTTATACCGACGAAGAAAGGCCTCCAGGAACTGTATCCTCCTAACGGGGTTGTGTGACAGCGGTAAAACTTTAATTTATGCCCAACTGCTACACAATAAGTTCATTCAAACCCAAACATCGATAAAGGAAAACATAGGCACTTATGTTATCAACAAGGTGGGTTTTTCTGCAGTGTTTTCCAATTTTTTTTAATGTTGAATTTTGTAGTCGTCCCTCAAAGTGGTGGATATCCCCGGCCACGAGCGCCTCCGCGACAAATTCGTCGAACAATACAAAGACTTATCAAGGGCGATTATTTTCGTCATTGACTCCGCCACCATCCAACAAGACGTCCGAGACGCCGCTGAGTTTCTCTACAACATTTTAGTGGACCCCACAGTCACCAGAAACTCCCCGAATATCCTAGTTTTGTGCAATAAGCAAGACCAGACTTTGTCTAAAGGTAGCAACGCTGTTAGGTCAATCCTTGAGAAGGAATTGTAAGTTCAGTGATGTACTTTGTACACACTTTTAAAAAATGTTTTATAGGAATACTCTTCGAATTACCAAATCAAGTCAGCTGGATTCAGTTGACCCCAAAGCTAGGAAATCCGCAAGTTTGGGGACCTCTGACTCTGATTTCTCGTTTTCTAGCCTCAATTGCAAGGTCGAGTTTGCCGAAAGTTTCGCGTTTAATAAGAACGGGTCTGTGGATGTGGATCAGCTGAAGAAGTGGTTGTCAAAAATTGCCTGAGTTGCGTGTTTTTATTGTTAAATTATTTATTAAATGGATTGGTAGATTGGTTTTTTATTTGATGCATTTTGTTATTTAACGCAATATTGTGAATATACGTGCGACTTTATTTTGTTCGTTTTATTCATTTTGGCTAGAATAATGTGAAAGTAGAGAAAATAATGAAGGTACTAATGTTTGTGGTAGAAATAGAAGTTAGTTGATGCGACGAAAGAGACTAGGAAGTAGGGATTTTGTGATAATGATAATAGAGAGTTAATGGTTATTAGAATTATTGATTTATTTTTTAAGCATGCTTATGCAACACATTATACACTTGGGGAAAAACATGAAAACAGTTATTAAAATTGACAAACGAAAATGTGTTTTATTTACGAATGTCGTGTAGATGATCAAAATTTGGCTAATGCACAGTTTTATACAGTTTTTTCTATTGTAATTAATAGTCAGATGTTTTTCCAAATTTTCCTTGTCACAAAAACGAATTTTCGTCGGTTAAAATAAGTTCAAGATAATCTTTTATCCACGGATTTATTAAAATTTATTAGTTTTTTTACATGGTAATTTCTTGTAGAGAAATAAGGATTTTAAGCTCCACGATGAATAAAGAAAATGATCACGGGGGTTTTATTTGCTTTTTTTCTTAATATTCGTAGTCTTCTTTTCGCAGCAATAAACTTAACTTAAAACGCGTTTGAAACAGGAAATATGGATTTTGTAATTACGCTCCCCCCCTCAGTCTGGCAACGAATGGAAAATTTATCACGACGGATGGGTGGGGCTTATATTTTGCATTTTTTCTTCGTCTTAATATATATTGTTTTACTGTTTCTATTGCTCGATGTTTCACTGTTCGACTTTTCAGATTTCGATTTTCCAATTTTTTAAATTTTGGACTTTCGATTTATAATTTTTTTAATTTTTCGATTTCTTGACATCACGGTTTTTCGATTTTCAAAAATTTTCGACTTTCAAATTTCTCAAATTTCCAAGTTTTGGATTTTTCATTTTTTCGGCACCTCAATTTTGAATATTTTTTTGACGTCTCGATTGTTTCATCTCTCGATTCTTCACTTTTTCGATTTTCAATTTTTCGTTTTATTGATGTTTCTATTTCTCACTTTTTCGAATTTTTTAAATTAAAGATTTTCCAGTTTGTTGATGTTTCAATTCAACGATCTTTCAATTTTTCGACTTCTCGATTTCTCAATTTTTCATGTTTCAGTTTTGACTTTTTTTTATTTTTCCATTCTTCAATTTTTTGATATCTCAGTTTTGGAATTTTTCAATATCTCAATTCTTCAATTGTTCGACTTTTCAGATTTCGATTTTCCGATTTTTAAAATTTTTGATTTTTCGATTATCAGTTTTTACAATTTCTCGATTTTACAATTTTTCAATTGTTCGATTTCTCACCATATATTTCGATTTTTCAGTTTCTCGATTTTTCAATTTTCTGATTTTTTAAATTTTGGACTTTCCATTTATGAATTTTTCGATTTCTTGACATCTCGGTTTTTCGATATTCAATTTTTCGATTTATTGATGTTTCTATTTCTCAGTTTTTCGATTTTTTTATATTATAGATTTTCCAGTTTGTTGATCTTTCAATTTTTCGACTTATCGAATTTTCAATTTTTGGATTTCTCAATTTTTTCATGTTTCGGTTTTGACTTTTTTTTTATTTTTCCATTCTTCAATTTTTTGATATCTCAGTTTTGGAATTTTTCCATATTTCAATTCTTCAATTTTTCGACTTTTCATTTTTTCAATTTATGGATTTTTTCATGTTTCGATATTTTAATTTTTCAAGTTTGTTTATTCGCCGTGAACCAAGGGGGCGGAGCTAAATGCAAAATACTTTCAAAACGGCAAATATAAACCCCGCCCACCCACCCCATCTCAATTGTGACGATTTTTTTATTCTTAATTCTTGACTTGTTTTTTTCATAGTATTCTTTGAACACGATACTCAAAAACATATTTTTTATGTTTTGTAGAGAAATAAAGATTTTGCAATTAAATTCCGCTTCTTTGGCTATCGACGATTAAAAAAAAAATTCATCACAATTCAGACAGGTGGGCGGGGCTTATGTTTTGCCTTTTTTCTTAATATACGTAGTCGTCTTTTCAAAACAAGAAACTGAAAACATGTCTAAAATGGTAAATTTTATCCCATACACTTCTCTACAAATTTATCCTTTTGAACATGTTTTCAGTTCTTGTCGTGAAAAGAAAAGTACGTACATATATTAAGGAAAAAAAGGACAAAATACAAACCCCGCCCACCCGCCCTCATTTAAATTGTGCTAATGTTTTTATTCGTTGTGAGCCAAAGGGCGGAGTTTATTGTAAAATGCTTATTTCTCTACAAGAAATTACTATATTGAACATGTTTTTAAATACTATATATGTTGAGCCAAAAAAAAAAAAATAAGCCCCACCCACCCACCCCTGTCTCAATTGTGACGAATTTTTCATTCACTATCCGACCGAGGGGCAGAACTTATCTGAAAAATCGATGTTTCCCGACAAAAATTTACTATTTTAAACGTTTTAAGTATAATGACATGATTTTACAATTTTGCCGATTTAATTCATCTTTACCAAATTTAATTTTTGGTGATTCCAAAAACATTGTTGATTATTTCAAATCCAATTCTCATCTGAATGACTAGGGTTTAAGAATTCGATTATCGGACGTTTTAGATGAAATTTCTATACTGAAATCAGTAGAAAGTAAAATGGTATAGTTTTGGAAATTTCATTCTACTCTATAAAATTTAATTGGTAATAACGACACGGAATGTAGTACAATAGCAAAGGATAACAAATGGAAAATTTATCACGACGGATGGGTGGAGTTTATTTTTTACATTTTTTCTTATTTTTAATATATATTGTTTTACTGTTTCAATTGCTCGATCTTTCAATTTTCGACTTTTCAGATTTCGATTTTCCGATTTTTAAATTTGGAGTTTCGATTTATAAATTTTTTAATTTTTCGATTTCTTGACATCACGGTTTTTCGATTTTCAAAATTTTTCGACTTTCAAATTTCTCAATTTTCCAAGTTTTGGATTTCTCATTTTTTCGACATTTCAATTTTGACAAATTTTCAATTTCTGAATTTTTTGATATTTCGATTAGTCGATCTTTCCATTTTTTTGACGTTTCGATTGTTTAATCTCTCGATTCTTTACTTTTTGGATTTATTGATGTTTCTATTTCTCAGTTTTTCGAATTTTTTAAATTAAAGATTTTCCAGTTTGTTGATGTTTCAATTCAACGATCTTTCAATTTTTCGACTTTTCGATTTCTCAATTTTTCATGTTTTAGTTTTGACTTTTTTATTTTTCCATTCTTCAATTTTTTGATCTCAGTTTTGGAATTTTTCAATACTTCAATTCTTCGATTTTTGGACTTTTCAGATTTCGATTTTCCGATTTTTAAAATTTTTGATTTTTCGATTTTTCAGTTTTTACAATTTCTCGAATTTCCAATTTTTCAATTGTTCGATTTCTAACTATATATTTCGATTTTTCAGTTTCTCGATTTTTCAATTTTCTGATTTTTTAAATTTTGGACATTCGATTTATGAATTTTTTAATTTTTCGATTTCTTGACATCTTGGTTTTTCGATTTTCAAAATTTTTCGATTTTCTAATTTCCAAGTTTTGGATTTCTCATTTTTTCGACATTTCAGTTTTGAAAATATTTCAATTTCCGATTTTTTTGATATTTCGATTAGATAGATAGATAGATAGATAGAAGCTTTATTGTTAATACTTAAAAAAGTTTACAAACGTCCAGAATAATTTTACATACAATTAGTGTAATAAACAAAATAACATTATAAAGTAATAAATAAAATATTTATGTTAACTAAAAGTTTCATTACGTATTTTAAGCCTAAATTCATCAATAGAATAGATTAGTCGATCATTCCATTTTTTTGACGTTTCGGTTATTTAATCTCTCGATTCTTTACTTTTTCGATTTTCAATTTTTCGATTTATTGATGTTTCTATTTCTCGATTTTTCGAATTTTTTAAATTAAAGATTTTCCAGTTTGTTGATGTTTCAATTCAAAGATCTTTCAATTTTTGACTTCTCGATTTCTCAATTTTTCATGTTTCAGTTTTGACTTTTTTTATTTTTCCATTCTTCAATTTTTTGATATCTCAGTTTTGGAATTTTTCAATACTTCAATTCTTCAATTTTTCGACTTTTCAGATTTCGATGTTCGGATCTTTTAAATTTTTGATTTTTCGATTTTTCAGTTTTTACAATTTCTCGATTTTCCAATTTTTCAATTGTTCGATTTCTCACTATATATTTCGTTTTTTCAGTTTCTCGATTTTTCAATTTTCTGATTTTTTACATTTTGGACTTTCCATTTATGAATTTTTGAATTTTTCGATTTCTTGACATCTCGGTTTTTCGATTTTCAAAATTTTTCGACTTGTAAATTTCTCAAATTTCCAAGTTTTGTATTTCTCATTTTTTCGATATCTCAATTTTGAAAATTTTTCTATTTTACAATTTTTTGAAATTTCGATTATTTGATATTTCCATTTTTTGACGTTTCGATTGTTTAGTCTCTCGATTTTTTATTTTTTCGATTTATTGATGTTTCTATTTCTCAATTTTTCGAATTTTTTAAATTAAAGATTTTCCAGTTTGTTGATGTTTCAATTCAACGATCTTTCAATTTTTCGACTTCTCGAATTCTCAATTTTTCATGTTTCAGTTTTGACTTTTTTTATTTTTCCATTCTTCAATTTTTTGATATCTCAGTTTTGGAATTTTTCAATATCTCAATTCTTCAATTTTTCGACTTTTCAGATTTCGATTTTCCGATTTTTAAAATTTTTGATTTTTCGATTTTTCAGTTTTTACAATTTCTCGATTTTCCAATTTTTCAATTGTTCGATTTCTCACTATTTATTTCATTTTTCAGTTTCTCGATTTTTCAATTTTCTGATTTTTTCAATATTGGACTTTCGATTTATAAATTTTTTAATTTTTCGATTTCTTGACATCTCGGTTTTTCGATTTTCAAAATTTTTCGATATGTAAATTTCTCAAATTTCCAAGTTTTGGATT